TTTTTTTTTTAAACACTGGGTTTATGGGTGCTGGTACTTAGGTTTTGAAGTCTAGAGAGAAGTGCAGGACTTTCCCACAAGCTTGCAGCTGTTTATGTCTGAGCTCACACAACATGGTTCCTAAGGTTTTCCAGTTTACAGCCCTGGCTGACCTCTTTAGGGAGTCCTTGAGAATGCCTCTCAAGAGAATGCTGGCTAGGCCTCAGTTTAAAATATGAGGGCTGCTGCCACCATGAGGAGAGAATGGGAACTGCAAGTACGCAAGGGTGGGAGAGTTCTTTCTGACTCCCCTGATGCTGCCCATCTGACACACGACCTTAGGGTTCACCAGGGTATGACTTAGGGACCCATCCTTCTGAGACACCCCTGTGCTGTGAAACTTTCTGTCCTGGATCCAGAGTTCCGTGACCCTGGCTCTCTCTGACCCCTGCTCCTGCTGGTCACTGCACTCCACACCCATCCTCACCTGGGACAGACCTGGGCGTGACTCCTCCACTTCTCCATAGCAGCTCTTCTTCCTCCTGAAGGTCTTGCAGCCACACTGGCAGAATCCCACAAATTCTACGTGATTCAGCCATCTCACACGTTCATAATTTGCCGCCTTTGGTCATTACTAATGGAATCTGGTCATTAAATTTACATAATTGCCAGGTGTACTTACGGCACACTGGGTGTTTGTGGACCTGGTTCGTGTCCCTCAGGCAACTTATTTAAGCACATTTGAAGACTGAGCCAGATGTTTTTACACGTTGGTTTCTACGAGGCAGTCTATACTAGGTGCTGAGTGAACACGTTAGGCTATGGGACATTGACTCCAGGAGGGTCAGGCGGTATGAAAACAGCATTGTCACAGAGCACCCACAGGAGCCCAGTCCACTGTCATCAAGAAAAGAAACTGTCCGCCACCGTACAGAAGTTAGCAGCAAGTTGGGGTGGCCCTCAAGCCCTGTCTTCACAGTAGCTCTGGCCTAGTAAGAATTGCTGCTAACATGTTGTTTCTGAACAAGCTTTCTCCATCACAGGGCCATAAGTGCTGTCTTAGGGGACCGTGCCAAGTGCAGCGGCCAGTACAGAGTTTGTGCTGTGTCTGGGTGGAGGGAGGAAGCAGAGAAGAGGGAACTACCAGTTCATGGCTTTATAAATGTGTCCGTGCCGCTCTGACTGTGTCTTCTCCCCACAGAACAATATGACTCACCATGCAAAACCCATCCCAGTTCCCAGCAAGGAACATCGTAAGTAAAAAAGGGAAAACCAACTGCATTTATTAAAATTTGATACTATGACATTGAAACTTCCCGTGTATGTCCATTATGTAGATGCCCCCTCCCGTTTTCAGTTAATGGCACCCATAAAATACGGCTGCATTGTCGAGGGAGGAAATGACCCACGCTTGCATCTGGATCAAGGTTTATGTACTATAGGAGAATGTGCCCAGGGGTTTTCTGGAAGGAAAGGCTTTGAGCTATTATTTATGCATTGACTGTGGAACTCAGAAGGCTTTGGCTTTTAAAAATTCAGACTTAAGTAGTTTTAGCTTTGGGAATTGGATTTGGGGGATGTGTGGAATGAGGTTTTCTGCTATTTTCTGGCCTATTTAATAGCAGGAGCTTGATCTGCCACCCAGATGTTCTTATCCAGGCCAGGCACATCTAAATGTATTCTGGGTTTTTGGAACACTTTAATCTCACATTGTAGATGTTTAATTCAACATTTTGACCCAATTTATTTTTTCAAAGTATCAAATTACTATTTCTTTACCCCGCCCCCCCTCTTCCCCAGAAGTCATTGCTTTGAACCCAGTGAGGTGACCTGCTCAGGCTCCTCCCTCCCTCCGTGTCTCAGTTGCCACTGACTTGTCAGGTGCTCTCAGTCCCGAGTCCAGAGTCATAGTCTTCATGACTGGTGCCCAAGGAGGCCAGGAGAGGGCGTCAGGTACCCTGGAACTGAAGCTGTAGATGGTTGTGAACCATGTGGGTGTTGGGAATTGAACTGTGGTCCTCAGGGAAAAACAGCCGAGCCATCTCTGCAGCCCGTTTCTTCTCTTTTTGTTCCGTGTTTTGGAGGATAGGCATCGCTAAGATCCGAATAGAGTGGAAGAGATTATTGCATGTCGCTGTGACTGAGTGAGAAGACAAGGCTAAGTTATTGTCACCAAAGACCAGCTCCTTGGTGGAGTGATTTTTCATTTCAACATAGAAAAATGAACAGTAACGTAAGAGTTTTGATAGATAAAAAGTCATTGTCTGAAGGATGGGGTTTGGTCAGAACAGATTTTCTTATGGTGTGGTGCATGAGGCGCTTCTGCTTCTGAGAGTCCTTGACCGCAAACAGACCTGTGTCCCTCGTGTTTCCCCTTTCTGTTTTGTTTTTTCACTTTGGGGAATTTTGCTGGCAGTTTTGAATCACCGCCTTAAACTATGGCAAGAAAGGAGGAGGAGCCCGGGCCAAGGATCAGCGCTGTGAGCATCTCTGAGATGTCCTAGGCCATCAGACTCCATTCTGTTCGTGATGGTTGGATGCTGGGCATTCAGCCCTGGTCACCAGAGAAGGGCCTGGCCATTGTCTTTGGGGCATCCAGGAGGGAAAACTGAAACTCAGGATTCACCCGGCGTTCCCTTCAGCAGGGAGCAGACCGGGCAGAGCAGTGGCACCGAGGACAGGAAGTAACTCTTCCTGGTCTGTGGGTGAAGCATCAAAGCTGACTGGGTGCTGCACCCTAGAAGCTGCCTGGCAGTAGGTGGAAGTCACTTCCTCCCTGCCCATCACACTCAGCCTAGTGTCCTAGTAACTGCCTAGCAACCATGAAACTCAGAGAAGCTCGAAAGTCCATTGCAAATGAATTTATAATCCTGTGACGGAATTTTCTAAATAGAAAGTGCTAATTGATATTTGAAACAAGTACTTGAGGCATTCTCAGGAGGCTCAGGGAGAGGGTGAAGGCTCAGGGGCGGGTGAGGATGGGAGGCAAGGCGGTTGGGCAGATAGGTAGTAAAGCTTGTGCGGTTTCAGCAGGGTACTGGGTTCAAAGTGCCGAAATGAAACGGACTTCATGAACAGAGGAAGTCATTCACTTATGCACTGGCCTTTAGTGGAGAGAGAGTTAATTTATGCCACAATATTCTCATTTAGTGTGGTGGGTTTCTTAGAGCTAGTGACGAATTTGACCCCGCGACAGCATCCAGGCTCACTTGTGTATTCGGGCTGCGGGGGTGGCAGGTAGAGGGTTGCAATAGGTCTGCTGTCCCTTGCACATCAGAATTGATAATTACAGGGTTGTTCATACTGTGACTTTAAAAAAATCAGTTTTCATCCGGCTAGATCTAGAAGCAGCTTGTTAAAAGAAGAGCGGACATAAAAACAGAACGAGAGCAAGGTGGTAACTCTAGCGTCTGTCCAGCTGAGAGTGGAGGTGCACCCTAGTAGAATGTCTGCCCACTCGGAGTGTGTGTTTGAACACTGCTCTGTGTGCACCCGCCCGTCTTAAGCTTTAGTTACTCTCTTCAGGGACCCTTTCTCAGCAGAGCCCCGGCGGCATCCCATGAGGTATCAGCCCTGTTGTCTGCCTCCACGTTCAGGGAGGGTTTGTGTACTCATTGGTGCCGGCTTTGCAGTCCACTTCCTTTCCAAGATGTGAAGCAGCTGCAGGACAGCACACCGAGTGTTTCCTCTTCCCATTTCATAAAAAGTTAGCACATACTGTTGGAGATGTTTTACCTGGATTCTCACTGGCAGCTCTAACTGAATGTGTCGTTGGTGGACAATTATCATCAAAAACAAACTGGAAACTATGTCAGGTGGGAGTTTATGTTATTGTTGTTGAGGTGTTGCCCTCTGCTTCAGGACCACGGGTGCACACACCTGTGCTCGCACACACCTGTGCTCGCACACACCTGTGCTCGCACACACCTGTGCTCGCACACACCTGTGCTCGCACACACCTGTGCTCGCACACACCTGTGCTCGCACACACCTGTGCTCGCACACACCTGTGCTCGCGTTTGTAGATTTGCAGGTTGACGTTTGCAGCTGCCATCACTGCTGAGCACTCTGCACCTGGCTTCTGGGACGCTGGGTCAAGTGATTGAGAACCTAGGGTTACGGTGTTCACAGTGACTGTTAACTTGCATATAGAAGGGAGCATCTTATGTGTTCCAGGAGAAAACCAGAGCTTTACACTGAAGGGCAGTAAGGATCCTAGCCTTTCTCCTCCCTTCTCCCTCCCCCCCTCCATTTCTTCTCCCTTCTCCCTCCCCCCCTCCATTTCTCCTCCCTTCTCCCTCCCCCCCTCCATTTCTCCTCCCTTCTCCCTCCCCCCCTCCATTTCTCTTCTCTCCCTCCATTCCCCCTCCCCCATTTCTTTTCCTTCTTCCAGCATTTGGTATAATGGCTTAAGATCCTATTTTGTTGTTGTTGTTGTTTTTATGATATGTGCTACCCTCTTCTTGAGAATCTGCAACTTCCCACTCCTCCCATAAGGCGATTATTGCCCATATTTCTGGCCTATTTCAAAAAGGAACCAGAAGTCAGAGTTGGTGGTTCTGTAATCCTAGTACCCGGAAGGCTGAGGAGGTGAGGAGCATTAGGGGGTTGATGATAGTTCGTTCTATATTGTGAGAAACTGTCTCCAAAAGGTAAAAGAACCAGTGCCAGGCAGCAAATGCCAGTGGGTTCTGTGCCAGCCCGGGCTACGTAGTGAGAACCTGTCTGAAAAACAAACAAGGGAACAGAAGTCAGAGTAAATTGTCAACTTGTAGAACTTTGGGTGTCTTGGAGTTCCGCCTCCACTGTCCCCAGGTCATTTGGGAGCTGAGCAATGATACATATCCTCACATGTTCACTGGCTGTCACTTCTGTCCCTACCATTTTAACATAGCCATGGTCACCCTCAGGACTTACCGGTTACAGATCACTGCTCTTAGCTTGCTCTTTCTCAAGTAAAATGGTACAAAAGCTAAGCCAGAAATTGAGTTTATTTAAATAGTTTGGGATTTTTTGGTGTTGGCTATTTGCAGAGTAAGCCTTGGAGAAGCCCAGTTCTAGGAAATGGACAAGAAAGCAAGGCTTGTCTCTGAGTCTTCGCACAGTAACATTGGGCTGACTCACGGAAGCGTGCCTGCCAGAGCCTGCCCGCAGCCATGCATTCTGCTGGAGGATGGGAATGCAGAAGGATCTGCACAGAGGCTCCAGGGGTGTCTGACCCTTTGACATCCCAGGTCACCTCACCTGTCCTATCAATGTGCCTACCGTAGGTTCTGGTCCGCAATGCTTTTCTGCAGCATTCGGGCTCCTTCTGAGCAGCATGGGTGTGGGACATTGGTGCTGAGTGCTTTACCTGGGAGCTTGGAGCCGGCATCGGATCAGTGCTGAAGGGTTAAATTACTCTATTTTCTGGGTGTTTTGTGTGTATGTATGATGTGTAGCCATGTCTGACTGGTGCCCACAGAGGTCAGAAAAGAGCAATGATTCCCTAGAACTGGAGTTACAGAAGGCTGTGAGCTGGACCAGCACACTCACCCCAGTAGTTACTGATTTATGCTAAATTGAGGTCTTTTTTAATTTCCCATAGATCTCAGGTCCTTTATTGTCACGTCAAATAGATTGGCCAGAGCGAAGGGAATCTCAGGCCATGGGATGGACCTTCTCTCATCCCAGGTCCGGGTTGTAAAGTGGCCATTTCTGCCTCCCAACCACCACACAGTCTGTGGGCATAACTCTGTGATACGGCTACCTCTTTATTCCCACCTTTTCCTCTCCTCTCCCCATCTTCCCAGACTCTCACCTCTTGTCCATCTTTTCCAGGGATTGAGCCCAGGGAGAGCCTTGTGAACACTAAGTAAGAGTTCTCTCACCAAGCTACAGCAGTAGCCCTTGGGCCAGCACTCTAGTGTGTGCCGTGTTCTAGGTTCAGGAACATGAAAGTGGAAATGCCTTCGACTTTGCCTCAGAAGAATTCACAATGGTCAAGGAGAGGGGCCCATCCCTGGGGTTCATGACTGATGAGGAGAGGGAGCCCGTCCCTGGGGTTCATAACTGATGAGGAGAGGGAGCCCACCCCTGGGGGCTGCTGCTCTCTTGACCTAGGTTTTAGGCACAGGAGCAGGACTGGCTCAGGGAGCTCTCAGTTCTCATGTAGAGGTCCTTACCCAGCTGTGCTTCGTCTCGCCCTCCGTGTTCAGTTCCCTCACAGATAGCACACAAACCCAGCTGCTGATGAAACAACCAGGAGACAGAGCAGCTGACTCCTCTCTTGTGCCTAAGCTCCATTTTCTGCAACTGTAGAGATTCTCCTTCTGGAAAATCATAATGGCACTCATGAATTTCCCCTATTAAGCAAGGTTTTATTATGATTTTTAAGCAAACTGGGTGTTTATACACGTTTCTTATTAAAAGTTTGAAACGACTCCCCACTGCCTGCCTCGCCTCCTGACGTGTGCTGAGTCACCCACATCTGTCCTAAACTGTGTTCTGGAAGGGTTGTGGTTACTCACGGCTGGATCAGCAGACTCTGACGGTGTACTTCTGTCTGCTGATTATCATATGAGCTACATTATTAGGTCTTTGTTTTTGTTTTTTTGAGAAGTTTCATTTAGTCCAGATTGGCCTGGAATTTGAACTTGCTCTTCTCTGAAGTTGAGCTTCAATTTCTGTCTCCTGCCCTGACCTTCCCACCTAACGCATATGACTCCTCCTCCTCCTCCTCCTCCTCTTCCTCCTCTTCTTCATCTTCCCTTTCTCCTCTCCCTGCTCCTCCTCTTCTTCAAAACATTTTTCTGTCTGCCCGCCTACTTACCCACTGTGCACAAAGTGGTGATAGTGTGGAGGCCAGACATGGGTCCCCTTTTCTACCACGTGGGACAGGGGGCTGGGTCCAACTCCAGTCAACCTGCTTGGCAAGCAGCTACCTCTACCCTCTGAACCAAGTCACTGACATTTTATTTGTTTGTGTAGACCTTTTGTAGTTGGCCTTGAACTCAGATCCTGCTTCTGCCTCCTGAGCCCTGGGATTAAAGGTGCGCACCACCACCCCAGCTCTAGCCAGCTTTTTCAGTTCTTTATTAGATAAATTATACTCACAGATTTAGGCCATAGGAAACACTGAGTGTATATATTGCACTAATAGCTTACATAAGTGATTAAAATGATTTCTTAAGGTCCGTGTTTATACAGTCAGTCTTTCTTCCCCGAGACCTGGCCCACTTTTTGAGACTTGAATAGATTTTATACCTCTGTAACTTCTGGAAGGAGAACTCCCATGGTGCCTGGTGTTTCTAGATGAGCTCGAACTCCCTGCGTGCGCCTTTACTGACTTAAAGAGACTATATCCACAGAAGTTAGGTGTTATTCCGTAGCAAGGGGGAAACATAAATGAACTTTTTAATTCTCTGCTGTGGATGGGAGTGCGGTAGGGTTACAGGATCTTTTGTGGTACTGAAAATTAAGAAAGATTAGTTTCTAGTTTCGTACAAAAGAAACCCAGTAGCTAAGGGGCACGGTTTCTTCCTATAGGTCTGTTGTTCGTGGTTAATCCTGACGACACATGGCCAAGTTGGCCAGGATTCCCCCTCCCCGTTGTGTTATACCTTGTGAGTTTTTTTCCTGCAAATATAATACCTTTTGCTGTGTCCCCTAGCCCAGCCAGCTTAGTGGCAACCTGTTACGTAACTTTATTTGTCATACCATTCTGATGGCCAACTGCCAAGTCCCATGACTGAAGGCCATGTTTTCTAGCCATGGTAAAATAAGAATTTAGTTTCTATTTGATAAACATTGAGTGAGATCTTCAACTTATAAGTACCTAAAAATTTTCTTTTTTCTCTTTCCTCCTCGTTCTCCTCCTCCTCTTTTTTTTTTTTTTTTGACAGGTATTCTTTGTGTAGCCCTACTACCTGTTCTGAAACTGTAGACCAGATTGGCCTTGCTTGAACTCAGAGATGGGTCTGCCTCTGCCTCCCGAGTGCTTGGGTAGACGTGTGAGCCTGCACAGCGCACCCAGCCTCAGTTCTCCTTATAGAAATTCTACACAGACGGCTTTAACACATTCGCTGCTGAAACAGTTCCTTGGTGGAATTAGCAAGTCACATGCATGTGATCATTCATGAAGATCTGTCATTTCTCCCATTAGAAAATGTAGTGCGTTTTACCAGGGCTTCCTGAAGGAGCCATGCCTTCCTCCTTCCTGGTGCTGCTGCAGTAGGAACTTAAGCCCAGGTTACTGAAGAGGTGTTTTGAGAGCTATCAAAGGATTTTTAATTTGTTTTCTGGGACACTAAAAATGCCAGTCCCCCCCCCATTTTTATCCCTCCTTTAAAAAAATAGTTTCGCCTATAAACTTGGAGAGAGCTGTAAAGAACAGTGAGTGATTATTGCCTTCGATATTTGGGGTCCTCTGGAGAAAGTGTGAGCACGGAAGGACAGTTGCTCACGCTGAGAAAACGCGTGCTGTTCAGAAACGTTTTCCGCAAGCCCGAGTGCCTAGCAGTGTGCAGCGAGAGAAGTGTCAGGGAATGAACTGACTTTATTTTCCCTGCCAGAATCAGTAGCTGTAAGATTAAAACATCTTACCAGCAATAGGGCCATTTATGTTACTAATTAAATTAACAGAACATTGATAAGGAGTTTGTATCCAAGTAGACAAAAGAGAATGATTTTTTTTTTTTTTTTGCCTGTGAAAAACAGTGCTCAGTATTAACAGTATCCTCTGGACAAAAATGAAAAGAATCATTTGGTCGTCTTGGGGCTTTGTGTGCTTAACACTGTTTAAATACTTACGTTCAACTGGGCAGTGGTGGCGCACGCCTTTAATCACTACACTTGGGAGGCAGAGGCAGGCGGATCTCTGAGTTCGAGGCCAGCCCGGTCTACAAAGCTAGAGCCAGGATAGACTCCAAAGCTGCAGAGAAATCCTGTCTCAAAAAACAAATGAATAAAAAATAAATACTCTCCATTAGTTCAGCATCAGCACGTGATGATAATCATTTATTATTATTAACTTTCTTAGCGGCCACAGGAGAAAGCTGTTTGTGTGTATGTGTCTTCATGTCTTTTCTGTCTTTTCTGTTTGTGTGGATGTTCTCACTGAAGGAGTTGAGGGCACAGTCTCAGGGTGGATTAGACATGGCTGCCAGAAGTTGTGTAGTTTGGCTGATCTGCTTCCAGTGTTAAAATGGTAAAGCTTGAGTTTCTAGAAAATTAATCTGAGTGAGCAAGCAAAGCCTCCAGTTTATCCCTGCCCTGTCCCTCTTCAGAGTCTTGAAGCACATGTACTATTTAAATGCCCCCCCACCCCAAGTTATTAGGGGTTCTCTCAGTTTTCCTCTGTCTGTCTTTCCCAGCATGCTTGAGGATGACCTGCAGCTCAGCGACAGTGAAGACAGCGATACGGAACAAGTGAGTGTTGAACTCAGAGACCAAGAACCCTTCTGAGTCCCCCGAATGCACCCTGGCTGCTTGTCCTAACCAGTGTTTCTGTTCTTAATGTCCAGGCTGCAGAGAAACCTCCGTCCCCATCTGCACCTCCAAGGTACTGTGTGCACGGCCCTCCCCGCAGACCCCAGAGCTGCTGCTCCCCTGCCACACACCTAACCCAAATGAGAGTAAAGGCGGACTCAGTTCCTCTGTAGCCAAAACCCGAGTCAGCTGCTGGGAACTGGAGGGAGGTCATTAACCCCGGGAACGTGGAAGGCGTCAAGAGCTGGTAAAGTCTTTGCCTTCCAAGCACAAGCTCTTGACTCAGCCCCCGCCTGAGAGTCAGGTGTGCCTGCATGGTCCGGGTGCTGGGGTGTGGAAACAGAGTCCCTGGAGCTGCCATCCCAGCAGGCCTCATCCGTGAGAGAGTGTCTCAAAACTGGAAATTGATTGAGAAAGAGAATTGTTGTTCCCGGGGTTTCTCTTTTCTTCATTTTGGCTGCTTTAAAATGTGACTCCCAGGACATTAATGTGAGGGGAGCCTCGTTAATTTCACCTTCAAATGAGTAGGCCCTGTTTAGAAAAGTAATGTTCTGTGTTTGGGAATTGGAAACTATTTTTTTGAACTAGTTTTGTCATATTTCCCCCCTGGTACTAAATAAGATGATGTAAGGTGAAAACGACCTGTCCCTCACAGACTTGCAGAGAGAAGGTCACCAGAAAGGACCTGGTGTCAGTAGCAATGATGTAATAGTAAAGGAAGCATTCACCATACAGCTCACGGGTCGTAACCCGGCCCATTTATTTATATCCAATCTTGTTAACATCTCAAGTAGCTCATGTTGACTCATAAAATATGACAAACTGGTCTATTTTTTTATTATAAAAGCAAAGGAAAAGGCAGCAGTGAACCCAGATGCCGGGAAAGGCCGGAGCAGGAGCTCCCTCCCAGGGGTGCCTTCGGCTGTCACTGGTGCACCCCACTCCCCCCCTCCTGCTGACTCAGCACTGATGGAGTCCCTGTGACGAACCCAGCCCGTGGATTTTTATTACACTGTTTATTATTTAATAAGGGTTTGTTTTGAGAATATTGTCGGGAGGTTTGGAAACATTAAAGATGTCTGCTTTAGCTACTACCATTTAGGGCAGCTAAGACTGCATATGGTTTGAAACTCTATGCCTAGCCCTGATCTGTATGTTTTCTCATGGACCTATGGTTAATGACTCGTAAGACTTGGAGTTGTTCTTGCCCAGCTAGGCATAAAGAATGGCCCATTGTCTAACCCCACCAGGAAGTGGCTGGGCCGCTTCTGAGCTCACCCTGCCAAGGAACTCTCTGTGTTCAGCGGTGTCTGGTTGCTGTGTAGTTAGAGGTCCTGGGTAGAGAAAACAGGGCCGTTTACACACTAGCTTTTCCTTTACTTCTTTTGAGCTGAATATAGTAGGAGCCAGCAATCTTCATGAGCCTCTGTGGGACATGAAACTCTCTCTTGTAACTGCTTAACTCTGCTGTCACAGCACAAAAGCCAGCACAGATGGCCTCGGAGACAGCAGTCGATGGCGTGCTCTAATAAAACTTTATTTAGGGGGCTGGAGAGATGGCTCAGTGGTTAAGAGCATTGCCTGCTCTTCCAAAGGTCCTTTCCCAGCAACCACATGGTGGCTCACAACCATCTGTAAAGAGGTCTGGCGCCCTCTTCTGGCCTTCAGACATATACACAGACAGAATATTGTATACATAATAAATAAATAAATATTAAAAAAAACCCTTTATTTAGAAAATGTCTTTGGCTGTCCAGGCCCTGGTTTACCAGCCCTGGCCTCTGACATATGCATAGGTATTGTTCATATCATCCAGCAGATGACAGGCCGGCTTGGTGACGCTCCTCTTATGCAGTTACAGGGTGGCCACCAATCCTAACACTGACTGTGGGCCTGCGACCACCGGATGCTAAGCCAGCATTGGCGCTTTTGCTTTCTAGGAGCAGGTGGATGGGCAGAGGCAACGGGGAGCCTCTGATTGCACCTCTGCTTGCTTTGCAGCGCCCCACAGCCGCTTCCCGAACCAGTGGTGTCAGCACATTCCAGTAGTGCAGAGTCAGAGAGCAGCGCGTCCGACAGCTCCTCGGACTCCGAGACTGAGAGCAGCTCCAGCGACACCGAGGAGAACGAGCCCCTCGAAACCCCGGCTCCCGAGGTAGCGCGGCCCCTTCAAAGGCAATCCAAGATGGCGACCGTTCCCACTGTCCGGAGCCATGTGCTACTCGGCTAGTGCTTGGCAGTGGGCACACAGGCACGACAGCTTCCTCTGCAGCAGCTTAGTGCCGCTTCCTAAGAGTGGTTGCGCTCCGTCCTCTTTTAGAAAGGAAACTTGTTCTAAGTAGGTTACTACATTAGTGTCAGTGGAAGGGTCTTTGAAAAATTCAGGAATCAGCGACTGAAAGAAAAGGAAAGAGATGTGAGCTAGGAGCAGGTCATCATTCTGTGTTTGAATCACTAAATGCCATGCAGTAAAACTGATGGCAGAGTGGTTTGCCAGGAATCTGGTTCTTGCTCCTTCCTGTCCCAGGTAGCATAAGGACAACCGAGTGTGTTGATGCCCACTTTGGAAGTACTGTAACGATGGACAAACAGTAAGCCTGGAAGTCACGAGAACTATGTGTCCCTAGAGAATTCACACCAAGTGCTGGTTGGTCACCCACTAGAACCTGTCTGTAATAGCTAACGAGGTTGCCTGCATGGCCTCAGAACCCAGGCAGCAGCATAAAAACTGAGCTCATGAAAAAGGAAGGCTTCTTTATTTCTGTTTCATGAGATGAGACCAGCCCTTATGGAGAACACTGCTTCTGTATTTAAGATTAGAATGCCAAGACATGAGGCTTCTTTGATAAGACAACATTAGAGTTTAATCTATGCATCTCCACGAGATGTTAGGTCAGCTAGAACAGCAGCTGAACTCGGCTGGAGAGCAGACTGTGAGCTCAGGGGCTGGATGAGGACATCTGAGATGGAGGAAGTGAGTCCTATGCTGGTAGGCGGGGCTCTGCCTGGCACACAACAATGCCAAGAGCTGTCCTTGTTTTAGTTTTTTGAGGTTTTTACAGTGCATGGGCGTGGGTCAGTGTTAAATGCATTTGAAGTGCCTTTTAGAGTTTAAAACAGCTCGTGGCAGCCGGGCGGTGGTGGTGCACGCCTTTAATCCCAGCACTCGGGAGGCAGAGGCAGGCGGATCTCTGTGAGTTCGAGACCAGCCTGGTTTACAGAGCTAGTTCCAGGACAGGCTCCAAAACCACAGAGAAATCCTGTCTCGAAACAAACAAACAAACAAACAAACAAACAAACAAACAAAAAAACAGCTCGTGGGTCTCCCTGTTCCTCATGTGGCACTGACTATATGAAGTGATTCACATGGATTTTGGGAGGGAGGGTGACAAATACGTTCTGTGCTGGTCCCTACGAGAGCTTCGTGTGAGGTGCTTTGTTGTTTTTGGTGCCAGAACATGAGTGTAGAGCATACTTAGCATGCATTCTGCCACTGAGCTGAATTATTAGCCCTGTGCTTCATCTTCAGTAAGAAAAATGTGCATGCTTATTACATTATTAATAGAAAATGTTCAATAAAACAATGAAGTTTGGCTGAGTGGTGATGGCGCACACTTTTAACCCCAGCACTTGGGAGGCAGAGGCCGAAGGATCTCTGTGAGTTCAGGGCCAGCAGGACAGCCAGGGCTACACAGAAACCCTGTCTTCAAAAACCAAAACAAAAAATTCCTTGCTGGTGTTGTAGCACTGGGGCCCTTGGTTCATCCCTAGTGCCACCAAAAGTAAAAAGAACACTAGAAAATGATTTAATCTTGGCTCAGTGATCACAAAATAACTGAAATAAAGCTTGCTGTGGTAGGATCACCTATAAACTTCAAACTGAGGATCCTGAGGCTCGGGGGCAGCCTGGGTTACATAGTATGCCCTAGCTCTCACAAGTCCAGCAAGGTAGATTGGAACTTCCTAGGTGCGGAATAACGTTCCTGCCTCGCTGCCTCTTAAACTCGCTTCAGCGAGCAGGCTGTGTCTCTGCGTGTGGGGTCTGTGCTCTGGGCTCTGTGCTGAGGCTATTTCTTGGGAATATCTTGTCTTGAATTACTTTCCCTTTCCCTTAGCTATTTAATTGCTTTTTGTCCCCTTTGAAGTGAATATCTACCAAGTTTTCCCTTTTGGTTGAGGGGAACATGGATTACATAATCAACTGTATACACTCTCTCACCCACTTGTATTTTTAATTACTAATTAGCTTTGAGACAATGTCTCACTAAGTAGCTCTAGGTGGCCCGGAACTCATTCCATAGACTAGCTTGGAAGGGATCTGCCTGCCTCTGCCTCTTAAGTGCTAGGGTTAAAGGCATACACCACCATGCCCATTTCTTTATTTAATCTGTGTTTGTGTGGGCACACTTGTGTGAGGTACCTTGGGGGCGAACAGAGGACTACTCTCAGAAGCTCTTGTCTCTGACACCTTTGCCTGGGTCCCAGGCATCAAACTCAGGTTATCAGGTTAGTGCAATTTAAGTACATATTTGTTATGTGTACCTCAAAACTTTGTTTTGAACCATAATTCATTCTAAAACACACACACATCCGTTACTTTTAGAGGTTAGGAGAACCAAGAGGGTGTTTAGACGTGCTCAGACTGCATGTCGTGCCTTCTCTTACCTTTAGACCACATTAGTCTGGAAGCAGTCCACAGATTCTCATCTTCTGTGGAAACAAAAGCAAAACCTCTTTTCCGAAGCAATATATCCTAAACCCAAATTTTGAAGTCAAGATATATTTTAAATATGTATGTTGGTTTAACTTAGCAGCCCATACAATGAAATGTCTCTCTGTACTTAGCTTCTTCACAGTAAAAAAAAAAAAATTCAAAGAAAACACAATAATATACATAATTTAGACTCTCTGTGTATATTTCATTTTTACATGGCTTATTTGTTTTTACTCTTTTTATCTTTTTTCCTTTAGTTTGTGACTGTCTCTTTAAAGACTTTAATTTTTAGAACTTTCTTTTTTATAACTGTCTATACACTTTTTCTTCTCTCTCATGTCTAGATACATTTATCCAACACTGTGACCCATTTAGAGGTCTTTTTATCTGAATCTGTCTTTATTGTGTATCTGTAATGTTGAAATACGGAGCGGCGGGGCTGCGTCCCCGGCACCCGGCCGCCCGCATGGCTAGCTTATGCCCGAAATAATTACACGGAAACTGTATTCTTTCAAACACTGCCTGGCCCGGCTAGGTCCAGTTTCTTATTGGCTAGCTCTTACATATTGTTCTAACCCATTTCTAATATTCTGTGTAGCCCATGAGCTGGCTTACCAGAGAGGATCTTAACCTGCGTCTGTCTGGAGTGGGAGCATCATGGCGACTCACTCACTCAGCTTCTTTTTCCCAGCATTCTCCTCTGTCTACTCCGCCTACCTAATTTTCTGTCCTATGAGGGCCGAGGCAGTTTCTTTATTATTAACCAATGAAATCAACAGATACAAGACCCACCTCCATCACTGTAATTATTTTCTGGCCAGTTTTTTTTTTTTTAATGCTAAGGGGGTGTGGCTAGGACTAAGGTGCTTTGCCTTTTGGCTCCACCCAATCCAGCATGGTAGAGACTTGTTCACCACCTGAGTTCCAAGTATACAGCAGGTCTATGTCACACCATTAAGCAGTTTCTAACACACTTCTTGGAAACACCATTTAAATGCTTGGTCTTCAGAAAGAGCCAGAGCTGTTTGTGCAACTAACACAAACCAGGAAGCCTTCTTAAAGGAGCCGTGTGATTTTTGCTGAGTCAGGAAGACTTCTCTTAAACTCGCTAAACTTTTTTTGTGTGTGTATGTGTCTTAGAATTACTTCTCAAGAGCTCTCTCAGGTTTTAAGTGGATTTAGTTGTCCATGTTGGCACCATTTGTTGCCAGAGGTTTCTGTCCCACCTGGTTGGACAGCCATTCAGTCCCAAAGAAACACACAGAGGTCTACATTAATTATAAACTGGTTGGCCTATTAGCTCAGGCTTCTTATTAACCCTTAAATCTTGCATTAACCCATAATTTTTGCCTGTGTCAGCCATGTAGCTTGGTACCTTTTATTCGTGAAGCATTCTCATCATTTAGGTTGACCACCTTTGAGAGGGTACATGAGGAAGAGAAAAATGAAAAGCCAAACTTTGATTCTATCTGTTAGAAAGTTATCTATTCTGTTAGAAAGTTATAGTCTGCTTTAGCCAAATCTTTTATCCAAACATCTCAACCTAAATAATTCCTAGCCCCTTTAGCAGCCACGTTTGCAAATCCATTAGTGTCTGGAGGAAGAACTTCTGGTTTTTCTCCTAGTTGGGCATACCACTCGGGCGTACTGTGTAAAAAAGTGGGCCATAGGACTCCCTTCTGGACCTCCAAGACCAGAGTGGAAGTCAATGTATGCTATTTCTGTAACCAGGGCACCCCTTCAGGGATTCTCTTAGGGGTGGGGTTGCGGGAACAACGCTTCCTTTGCGTACACACGTGAATACGTTTGGAGCAGCCCGTCAGTGATGGATAGGGCTGCAGCTGTAACCAGAGGTGTTGTACTGTCCCAGCCTTTCCCAAGGGGTGGTGGGAAGGGTTTGGTTTCAGGGCGCTCTGCCACACAGCTTTATCAGCTCACTGGGCCACTGTGCTACCCAAAGCCGTGAGTCTAAGTAGGAAATCGTGGCAAGGAGCCACTCTGCTGCTCTCTTCTCTGCACACGCTTAACCACCTTGTTGCGTTAGAATAACACTGTATTTCCATGTGATAGCATGCTCTGTACATTATAGAAGTCGTTTTCCCTTCTTGCTGAAATTTAAATGAACACCTGGGTGAGCTGGTGTAAGTTGGAGGCTGGACAAGAGATCTGTTACCCTAGGAGCAGTATAGTGTAAATAGAAAAGAGCCCAGCAAGCCCCTTTCTGCCTGTGGGAACCCTCCTGGCTTCTCTACTGGCTTCTCGTTGGTGGTGTTATCCCACTGTGAGCACAAGAAGCTACACCTTCTTACTTCTGGCCCAGCCTGACCAAAATGGCATCCATACAGCATGTTTTTGGATAGTTGGATTATCTGGTATACTGTCAGCCATTTTCCCTTTGAAAAACTTCCACTCTGAAGCTGAGGGTAAAGGTCAGTGATAGAGCACCAGCCTGCCAGGCACAGGCTTTCCGTTTGTTCCCCAGCAAGTTAAACAAAATTAAGAAGATTATATTTGGTTCAACCGGCTGGATGGCTCTTATCCGTGATCTAATCAGTTAAGTCTCATGTGTCAGACCTTTCAGTTAGCGCTGGTGGTCTGTGTGTGGTTTAACTGTTCACTTCAATAAGAGTGGGTCTTGGGGAAGGGGAAACAGAGCAAGTGAGTGATATATGGTGCCTTCTAATATATAATCACCACTCTGTCAACACTGGCATTTCCCATATGTTCTGTAATTCATGTAGTGATAGAGATGCTCTTGTCGAGGACCAGACATGGGTTTTCAGCAGTTAATAGCAGGCTGTGTGCAGCTCCCACTGTGAGAGAATCTTACACCCTCTTCTGGCCATCTGTATTTAGTATTACCCACCCCCATTAATGTAATTAATATACATGCTATAAATGTATCAGAATAAAAACATTTTAAATTGAAAAAATTACAAAATAAAATATTAAAAATATATGAAAGTAAGTCACCATATATATACATATACACACATATGCATATATATACACATATGCATATATATATACACGCAAAAAAAATGACCAAATATCTCCTGGCATGGCATGCATCCACAGTTAATTTAGCAGCAACAGTTTTAATCACAGGATGTTTTAGGAACTTCTATCCATCTGCCATATCAATTGTTTGGGTAATAATGGGTACTGCTGTCTGTCTGTCTGTATGCTGCGGATCTTGTCTCTGTGCTTGGCAGCAAGTGCAGCTTCAGACCTGGCTGCCTGTAGTGAAAGATGCTGTGTCCCTGCTGACGTGCCTTCACCATAGCTCTCTGTAGTTCGGAAATCAGATCTGTTATATTAGTGGTGATCCCATCACATATAAATTACTGTTTTTAAGTAACTAAGAGAAATCAAGTGTTAGGCAAGGATCCTTATCAATTGAAAAAGGGGTTTTTATTCCTTGTCCCCTGCATTACAAGTCAGTACATGTTCGTTCATTCTGTTCCAATTGTGACATCAGGACGAAAGACACACTACAAAGACATCTCAGAAGTTGCCAATAGCTTATTAATCAATACCTACTGACCAAAGTTCTCAAATTGAAAAATTGCTTAAGATTATTCTAAACCATTAAAGACTGTGATTTATAATTTGAAGGGGATGAGTAGAAGGTAAACTCCTAGGCTCAGAATGAGCAATTCTCCTGGGGACACTCCCGTATGCCGGGACTGCTAACACAGAAGAAGAGTTAATAACACTTTTCTCCATCTTGGTTTCTAGCCCGAGCCTCCGACAACCAACAAGTGGCAGCTGGACAACTGGTTGACCAAGGTCAGCCAGCCCCCAGTGTCCCTCGAGGGTCGCGCGAGCACCGAGTCTCCACGCTGGCGTCAGGAAAGTAAGGATGGAGACCGCAGCACTGAGCAGCCGCACCCTGAGTCCAAAGACCCTCCCCCTAAGAGCGCCAGTAAAACCCTCCGAGGTCCCACTGAGGGGCCCCAGCCTGGGAAGAGGAGCTGCCAGAAATCCCCTGCCCAGCAGGAGCCCCCATCTCGGCAAACTGTCGGAACCAAACAACCCAGAAAACCTGCCAAGGGCTCTGGCCAGGCAGAGCCCCAGGGCAGCGGGCCTGCCGAAAGTGACCCAGGGCCCCTTCCCTATGGCTCAAAAGAACAGACTTCCAAAGACAAACCCAGGGTGAAGACGAAAGGCAGGCCACGCTCTGTGGGCAATAGGGAGCAGAAGCCTGAAGGGCCCATGCCTAAACCACAGGCAACTGTGCCCAAGCCACAGGCAGCTGTGCCCACCCCTAATGAGAGGAGGAAGCACAAGGGTTCCCCGGCCCCCTCCAAGGCCCCCTCAGGCCCTCAGCCTCTAAAGGACAATGCTGGGGACAGGAACTCCGAGCACTTTGCCCTTGTCTCGTTGACTGAGAGCCAGGGTCCACCCCACAGTGGCAGGGGCAGCAGTGGTGTCAGCAGCATCAGGACTAGCGGCTGCCGACAGGCGGTGATTGTCCAGGAGGACGGCCAAAAAGACAGACTCCTGGTACCCTTGAGAGACCCCAAATTGCTCTCACCGCTCAAGGACACTCAACCACCAACGAGCTTGGTGGTGAAGATAACCCTAGACCTTCTCACTCGGATTCCCCAGCCCCTGGGGAAGGGCGGTCACCCCAGGAAAACCGAAGACAAGCAGCTGCTGGTGGCAAAGAAGCAGGACTCTGAGAAGAGAAGCAGCGACGGCTCCAGCAGAGTAACCAAGAAGAGAAAGGTGAGGACAGAGGCGCGCCTGGTGGTGTGCGCCAGGGCCAGGGTTCTGCTGGCCTGCGCCCACTTCCCATTCTGCCAGTTCTTGTTTGTGGCAGGGACCCCGAGCTTGCTTTCTCCGCACCCTGCAGCTCTCCAAGGGCACGTTTTTGTATATGCAGAGATCACTATTTATTCTCTGACATGATGTTTTGTCCTGGGAAATTAAGGTCTTCCATGAACTGGAATGAGGATTAGTATTCTGAATTTTTGAAAGAATTGCTCTCACTCATGACGCGTGGTGTGTTGCTGGACCTGTTTATTGACACATGGGCAGGAGGTCTGGAGTAGAGGGAGCTGGTAGGGTTGAGTTGCAGACCACTGGTTGTCTATGTTTAGTAAGGGTTTTCACGGGAAACTTGCTCTATTTGAGACTTTGTATTAGACATGCTACCAGTTTGGACAGCACCTGCCTTATTCTAATTGTTGAGCTTGGCTCTCTTCTTTTGCTTTTTTGTGATGAGGGAAGACTGGGGAGCGTTTCCCCAGGGGCTCTCTGACTATCTGCCTAGATCTGGCACAAAAGCACAAAAGGGGCCAACTGTCTCGCTGATGAGGGGTAGAATTTAGCCCTCTCGAGCATATGAAACATGTCTCGCTCACCTGTGGAACATGAGCACAGGAAGGGCCGTGGAGCTTGCTGTCCCCTGGAGACACGGCAGGGCTCTAGCAAACTGAAAAGGGTGACGTGAGAGTGCATGTGACCACCACATCTTTGGGGTGACTCAGGTGCTTGCCGGAGATGCTTTTTGAACCAGAAGAGGGTGGATTTGCATGCCAGAAAGTCTTTTGGGGGGGGGCTGGTGAGAGATAGTGTAGCCCCTGCCTGTCCGGGAACATACCATGTAGAGCAGGCTGACCTCAGACTCACAGAAATCACCAGCCTCTTCCTGCCTACCAATTAAAGACCTGCACCACCTAAGCCAGAAAGATTTTAAAGCTTTCAGAATGAGACGTAGTGTAAGGTGTGTCTATGTCTGTTTCTGTTTGCGTGCGTGCAGTCTGTCTGTCTGTCTGTCTGGGACAAAATGTTCTCAGGGAACTTGTGGTGGGCCTGTTTAGGAAAACGTGACCCTGCATCTTAGAGCGGGTGTCAAGGATGTACTAGTGTACCCCTCCTGCCGGCAAGCCCCCCATCATCTCCCCCTCTTAGCTTCCCTGGTCTCGGGCAGTAACCATCTGCTTTTCTTCTGCTTTTCCCTGGAGCGGAGGGGGGAGTATTCTCCCTGTGCTGCCTTGTTAGAGACCCAGCCTTCAATGGGGCCTAGGCTAGCTCCTCTCCTCATCTCTGAGAACAGTTCCTGCCCTTTGGAAGGCAAGCCTCCAGGCGTGGCTCAAGGGAAGCTTTTTTAGGTCAGGCCCAGGGAATCATTTTGTTCAGCACATAGAGAAGTTATGATTTCTTCATTTTAACTGAGCTCAATTAGGTTCACTTAATTGAGTTTTTCAAAGTGTCTGATCCAAAAGAAACACAGAACAAACGCTAACTGTTGCGCCCGTTAGTATGCTGGCCACCAGGCGCTGAGCGTCAGGACATCCTGGCTTCTCGCAGCTCTCTCCTGTCTACTACTCTGTCCCCAGCTTCTGATTTCTATAGAACCCCTGCCATTTGGGCCATGCACTCTTAGGCCCTTGGTCCCCTCCTCTTCGCTCCCTTCCTCTCACTCTCTGCCCTCCCACGGTCTGGATCAGTCTCCTGCTTTCTTTCCCTGCTCTGGACTCTTCCAGTGCCTCTAGCTGTTCTCTCCCTATCTGCAATAGACACCTTCCCTTCAGCTCCTTTGGAGATGTCATGTACTCACGCTCTACACAAAGCTCTGGTAAACACCCAGAGATATGGCTTGGGGGTCTGACTGTCTGAGAAAGGTCCAGATGGGACCCACTGGTTTCAATCCTGGCTGTAATAATGACCTCCCAAGCCTGACTACATTATAGTCCCCCCCCCCCCCCAGGTGACAGTAGGTAGCCCATCCGAACTCTGGTGCTTTGAAATTCCTAGACAGTGGTGATGCTCCCAGGATTGGGAGCAGTGGAGCGCAGCCTTACGTGGGCCCTGCTCAGGAAAACTGGTGCCTGGGTAGAGGAACTGTTGAGGTGTGCCCTGAGTGTGGCTAGCATGGATAAGGCAGCCAGGAATCCTTGCCTGAAGTGTGTCATTAATTAGCAGCTTGTCTGAGAAGCTTTCAGACTGGTGTGAATAAAAAGCCAGCTGTTGTGTGTTTACCCCCCAGAGTTGTTTGTCCTTCGGTGTGTTACTTCATGGACACCATGGGGGAGGAATTGCATGTCATTTGTGCGTCAGCACCGTGACTGCCCTTCAAGCCTCCCTGGCTTCAGTGGGTCACTTGGTATGCAAACCTGGGACCCTGACTCTGGGGCAGAGGTCATACTGACTTCTTTTTAACTTGGGACTGCTTCCTCCCAAATTTAGATTGTGAAGACCTCATTTTCAGTGTGACTGTTAGAAAGGGTTCTGGAGATGCAGTCAGGGACACTGGAGAGCGTTCCAAGTCCTTCACACTCATGCAGTTTGTTTAACAGAACTTATCCCTCTCCTCTTATGAGATTTAGCAAAAATTCTCAGACGACTCACACGTGTTTTTAGACTTAGTACTCATGAGACTGTCTGAGAACACATGGCAGGGCAGGACTGGGGCTCAGGGTTTGATGACTTCCCTAGTATTATTAAGGCCCTGGATTCAATCCCTAGCCACACAAACTAAAAGCCAGGCAACAGGAAAGGGCCGTGGTGCTAATGGCTGTGATGCAGCCATCAGACGTGGCACCCGAGGGGACTAGGTTAGGAACAGCTCACGAGGCATGACAGAAACTGGGCAAATACACTTGAACTCTGAGAGTACTCACCAAGCTATTGGCTGCAGTTTAGACATTAAAGTACTAATATCCACTTTTTTTTCTTAAGCTAGGAGTATGCCTCTCAGATTTGAAAGAAACCTGAAGTTAGAAGCATTCTAAAAGCACCCTAGCAGACACCGAGCTCCTCATGGAGTCCTACTATGTGCTTGCCTCTTCTGCAGATGGTGGCTTATTCCATCCATCCACATACAGATTGCCCTGCAAACACGTGGGAGCTCTGTTGATATTGTCATTGTGTTGTTCTCACCGTATAGCCCAGGCTGGCCCGGAAGCCAAGATCCTTCTGCTTCAGACTCCCACGTGTTGGGATTGCAGTTGTATGTTTGGATAAGCAGGCAGACTTTCTTACTGGTCATTTCAACGAATAATGAAATGAAGGAGTTCACTGTAGCCTTGCTCTAACATGACTGTTTGATTAAGCAGGACACCATCACCTCTGGTGAGGGGATCAGTGTATGTATATCCTCCTTTATGTCCACAGAGGAAGGGAAGTCATGGCGTATGACAGGAAAAGGTGTGTTTCTTGTGCTTGGGATGGTCACTTCTGCCTTTGGCTTCCACCCAAAGTCCATTTGTCCTTTCTTGCCCTCACCTTCCCCAGGTTAGTAACCCTAGATTTTGTCCTTAAAATTAAGGGTAAAGTCTGATTCCATAGAATTTATTAGCGTCTTCTAGGTTTCCTTTCTTGCTGCCATGTTGTTGGTTGGAGAGGGTGGCAGCCACGTGGCAGTGTAAAGGCTGTTTGAAGTCATCACATCATTGCCCATGTCTGCCTAGCCAGGGAGAAGTAAAGCCCGATCCACTGTAGATGGAGGCAGCTTTTCTTTTGTCCTGACTGCCAGGTCCCAAACAATCACACAGAAGCTTAATATTAATTGCAAAATGTACAGCCTATAGCTTGGGCTTATTACTAACTAGCTCTTACAACATAACCCATTTTTATTCATCTCTATTTGCCACATGGCTCGCCGCTTTACCTGTCTGCTAGGATCTTGCTTTTCTGGTGGCTGGCTCGCATCTCTCTCTTGAGCCCTCCCTTCTTCCTAAGTTTGGTTTTCCTACCTAGCTAGCCTTATTCTGCCTTGCTATACGCCAAGTCAGCTTTATTATTAACAGCGAGAGCAATACTCATTCACAGCATACAGAGGGATTTTCCCACAGCAGTCCATTTTCCTCTCCTGTAGTGCTTCTCGAGATCCATATGGGCTCAGAGTCTCATGGCTGCGTGGTAGATGTGTGCTCACTCCTCCCAATTTCCTGGTCTGTCCTCTCCCTTGCTCATTCTTCTGTGTGCACCTGGTAAGATCCTCAAGAGGCACAGGATCCCAGTTCAATATTCTGACTCACTAGGGCAATGTTCTTCTGGCTTCACGCCTCCACTGCCCGATGCTGCCACCCCAATGTCCATGCACACCCCTTCTCCAGGTCTTGGGTCCCCAGAACCCCTTACTTCACCATCATTGCCAAGATCCCAGTATCTCTCCATGTGTCAGAACCCGTGGCCCTAAGTGACTACACCGTCATGACAAGCTGGTGCAAAACAAGTGTCCACCCTGGAGGCAGGCCCTCCTTGCACAGCCCAGCTCTTCCTTTGATGGTCTTCTTGCCCTTTGGTCCCATTCTGTAGGTGGAGCAGCACTTGGCATATCACCCACAGGCTGAGAGAAGCCAGCAGCACATTGAGTTTGACAGGCAGCTGTAGGCCCCTCTGGAGGGCACAGGCACCACTGAAAGCTTGTCCTCCTAGAAGAGAAATTCTAGACCTTTGACCACATTCCTTAAAGTAGTGTGACTGGCAGAGAGATATACTTCTTTCTTCTTAAAGAATAGTGTAACCCAGAAAAAGCTAAATACTCCATATTCTCTCTCTCTCTCTCTCTCTCTCTCTCTCTCTCTCTCTCTCTCTCTCTCTCACACACACACACACACACACACACACACACACACACATACTATAACTTAGTAGGTCTTGCTTGTAGAACTCCCGACACCTACTGCTCTGTGTCATCACTTTGGCGACCTTCTTTCTGACTAGCCTCTCGTTTCTGTTCCCAGGATGGCTGCTGCATTGCTTGGCTGCCATTCTTAGTTTACATCCCAGTTGACAGACACCACTGCCGCTCTGGAGAAGGAAGCTGGGCCTTTCCAGACAGGTGTCTGTGCAGCTTGTTATGGTATCTGAGCCTTCAGGTGGTTTTGACATACAAAAGAGTTCCACAATAGCCTGGAATGGAGTGTAACAAATGTTTATTTATTTGGGGATAACTCACAGAAAGAGTAGTGATCTGCAGTGTGTGCGCGCTGGGAACTGGAACTTAATCCACCATTCAAGAGGTCCTTGCATGCTTTTCATCTGCATTTATAGTACATGAAACGACGCCCAAAGTGGCCCGGTATCTTAAAGGCAATTGGCTGAAGGAGTTCCCACAGCAAGGCAGCAGGCTGTTTAGGAACAAGTAGGTAGTAGGTTCCTTAAGGGTTTAGTGTACCTTTGGCAGGAAGTCTGTTCTAGTTTCTCATTCATAAATGTCTGCCTTGATGGTGGCGCATGCCTTTAATCCCAGCACTGGGAGGCAGAGGCAGGCGGATCTCTGTGAGTTCGAGACCAGCCTGGTCTACAAAGCTAGTTCCAGGACAGGCTCCAAAGCCACAGAGAAACCCTGTCTCGAAAAACCAAAAA